GGAATCAGTCTTTCCACCAACTGGATCTTTTCCCAAAAATCTTACATGATAGAAAATTTCAGACATACACAAAAGTAGAGGGAAGAATGTACTCATACCCAGCTTCAACGATTGTCAACTTGTGGCCCTTATTTCATCTGTGCCTGTTCACCCACTCCCTATACCTCTAGTGCCCAAATTGTGTTAAAGCATAACCAAACATAATATTATTTCATTCCTAAACACTTTACATTTCTAAAGTGAAAGAATCTTTTTATAAGTGTAATCATCATTAGGCCAGCAAGTGGTATGGTGGTTAAGGCGCTGGATCCCACATGGCCGACTCCACTATATGAGTCCGGAACCCAGCAGCTTGAGAATCACGTCAGGTGCGTGTGCATGCGTGTATCCCCAAAATCCTGAGAAGGGAGTGGAGGAGAGGGGATTGTGGCATGGCCATCCCCCTGAGGGGTGATTTCTCAATTTCTCTATCTCTGTCTCTTTCTAGCAAGTGCACACACCCTATGACAAATATAAAAAATAATAATAAAAGTAATCATCATACTTTTAAAAAAATTAGTGGTAAGCCATTAGAAGTATCAGATAGATAAGTTGAATTCACATTTTATCTGAATTAATTCAGGTATAAATGGCATACGCATATGTAAAGTGTATAATTTGACAGCTTTGACATACATGCACACCCAGGAAACCATGTCCACAACCAAGAAAGTGAACACTCCCAAGCGTCCTCCCACCCTTTTGTGTGCCCTGTCCCACCCTCAAAAGCGTTCAGTGTCAACCACTGTGGTTTCAGTTCACGTTTCTCTAAGGACTAATGACACCACATCCTTCTGTCTTTGGTGAGGTGCCCACTTTATTTGAGCTAATAAGTATCAGATAGGTCAAATCTTTTTTTTTTTTTTTTTTTAAGGTTTTTGCCACAGGCCATGTGCATTCACCAGAGAGAGACACAGAGAGCAGGCAAGACAGTGAGGGGAAAGTGAGAAATCACCCCTATGGGGGATGGCTATGCCGCAGTCCCCTCTCATCTGTTTTCCCCTTTGGATCTTGGGTGCGCATACACACACACCTGGCATAATTTTTAAGCCACCAGGTCCAGGACTCCAACCATGGTTGGCCATGTGGGAGTCCAGCACCCTTAACTACCAGGCCACCTGCCAGCCCCTAAATGAAATATTTTAAAGACTCTTTGATACATTTTACAAAACTGCTTTCCGAAAACATTCTGTTCTGCAATCAGGGCCCAGGAGCTTGGCTGAGAGGCATGCCTCTTAGCCCTCCCCCGGCATTGGACAGGGCTGTTGTGTTGTGTGACCTAACAGATGGATTACTTGACTTCTCCTTACCGTTCACTGTACAGTTTGTACACACCATGCAAAAAACTGATGGCAAAGGCCACGAGCCCAGAAGGTGGTGGGTGGGGAGCTGGCCCTATGATCACCTTGTCTTCTCTGCAGGCTGTGAACCCAGGCAGGTCCCTGTTCTTGCTTTATGCCCTCAAGAGCTCCCCCAGGCTGGGTCTGCTGTACCTGTACCTGTTTGACTACACAGACACCTTCTTACCCTTCATCCACACCATCTGCCCTCTGCAAGAAGACAGCTCTGGCGAAGACATCCTCACCAAGCTGCTGGTAGGTGTACAGGTGCCTTGAAAGAATTGTTCGCCATTCTTCGGTGTGGTGTGGAATTGGAGACATGGCCATAGCCTGTCCTGGAGCCTCCATTTGAATTTTGCACTGAAAGGCCTCTACAAAAGAAAATCTTAGAATTTCTAGAAGTCTATGTTATTTCCTGCATTGCCTAGCAAGAGGGATTACCTTTGCTATTTTAAATTTTTAAAAAGTAGCGTTTTTGCAATAGACAATAGCATAGTGTCTGTCCGGTTGGCCTCGGAGCAGTTGGCCACCATTCAGCTCAGTGAGAGGAGCCAGCACCACCCACCTCAGGGCCCTTCACAGGCATGGTACCCGATGCGGGCTTATGTTTCTTCAGTTCAACCCATGGATTCCTCCTTCAGAATTCTAGCGGACCCTCATCCATCGAGGGTGATTTCTCCCTGTCTAGTTGAGAAATTGAGAGCAACCCTTTGCTAATTCTCTCATCGATTCCGTCAATAAGTCACATGGATGTAGAGATTGTCAGAAATCATTCATTCATGTACTTTTTTTTTTTTTTTTTAGGTTTTTGCCATAGGGCATGTGCACTCACCAAGACACAGAGACAGAGAAAAGGAAAGTAAGAAATCACCCCTCAGGGGTGATGGCCACGCCACAACCCATATTCCTCCATATGCTCTTGGGATATGGGGTACACACATACATGCACCCTGTGTGATTCTCAAGCTACCCAGTCCAGGACTCGAACCATAGTCAGCCATGTGGGAATCCAGCACCTTAACCACTACACCACGTGTGGGCCCAAATCATTACCATACATCTTAAACATGACTGTTAAGTGCCAGCCTAACTGGCTTTATCCTGGAAGACAGTTTAGAGCCTGCTTTTTGGCCCCCCAGGCTAGCTTTTTTAACCTGCTGAAATTGAAATTAAAAAGTTCCCCCTACTACCACACCAAAAATCACTTTTGTTCAAGGTGTGCATGTGGGTATGTGTGTTCATTTAATTTCCCCATGACCTGTCATCATTCCACCACAGGTCAGGTGTTGAATTTAGAATATGATCCAAGTTACTTAGGCAGTGATAGAAGAATAAAACACTATGAGTAATTTAATTTCAACCCCCTCTTAACTCATTCTTAGCTTTTTACTTCTGGCTTTTACAGTCACATAACAAGCATCAGATAAACCTTTTTTGGTAACATTTACCTAATTCAAGAATATCTATTACAAGAAGAGTTAAGGGATGGAAATTTCATTTTAGATTGTTAGATATGTGCATATGTGTTAATAAGTACAAAACTCGCCAGGAAAATCACGTTTTGTGTAAAGTCAGTCCTCCTGATTTCTTGCATCTGTGTGTATTCTTTCTCAAGGATCTGAGAGAGCCCACGTGGAAGCAGTGGCGAGAATTCCTGGTCAAATACTCCTTCCTCCCATACCAGCTGATTGCTGAATTTGCTTGGGACTGGCTGGAGGTCCATTACTGGACATCACGGTTTCTCATCGTCAATGCCATGTTACTGTCTGTTCTGGAATTATTCTCCTTTTGGAGGATCTGGTCAAGAAGTGAACTGAAGTAAGTGTGTCCCCATTGATATGCAGGAAATGGTTGGAGCAAGAGGCACTAGGAAAGGGGTGAAAGGTACTCTTTGAAGTGTTTCTCAAACCCGCGAAGGAAAGAAATCTTTTGCCTTCGGTCTCTGGTTTGGGAAACCCTGCTCTAGCAGCGATTAGGAAAAGCACTCTGGGAGGGGGCGTTCTTGGTGCTCTCGTTAAAGTGTTTACTGAAGTATCTTATTTCTACATAATAATATGCCATATAATTCCTGGGGCCGAGTGTGTGTGTGGAGGATTTTAATGATCAAGGAGTAAGAGGTAAAAGGAAAGGGTCCTTACAGAAATAGAAATGGCAGTATGCTAGAGCATGGTGAAACGTGACAGGGAGTTGGTGGGCATGAGTTCTGCCACCTCCCGGGCCAATGAGAACTTCTCTGGATTAATGTATAAAATGAACGCATTGGACTAGACCATCTCTGAGCCAGGAGTTTTGGTTGCAAGTGACTGAAACCAGCGTGAAGTGACTTTACTAAAAAGGAAACGCCCGGGCAAAGTATAAGCATGGCAGGACGAAGAGACCCAAGCACTGCCCCCAGGACTTCCTCTCCCTCTCAGGGCTGCTCTTCCCTGTGCTGTTCAGCCTCAGGCAGCTCCTTTCGTGGGCCACTCTCCGCTGCCCTAGGCTTCGGAGCCTCTTCCAGTGGAACAGCTTAGCAACCCTGGAGGTAATAAAACCACTTCTCTCCTGTAGCACTTGGAGAAGTCTCAGGGTACACATGCCTTGGTCTGATTGGTCCAACCTGAGTCACATGCCTCTGAAACCCCTCACCCCGTGCAGGAGTGGCCAGGCTAAAGGCCTAAACTCGCCCACAACCAGGGGCTGGCTTAAGCTACACGCAGACTACCCAGTAAAGAATATGGGGGGGAAACTCCAAAGGAAAGCTCAGAGGTTGTTTCCAGAGGAGGTGGCTGCTGTCACACCAGCGGCCCTTCCTCTTGATATCCTGTGGCGAGGAGGGTCCTGGGCCTGATGAGAAGCAGCTTTATAAATAGTTCCAAGAGTCTGATAAGAATCTTCTCCATTTACTATGTTCTGATTCAGCAAACATTTCCTAATACATAGAATGTGCATACTTGTGCCCTTACCATACCCTGGCTCTCCAGGGCACTGCAGATCTTTTGGCAAAGGAGACACAGTGCACCCTGAGGGCCTACAGCCTAGCAGAGAACCTGTGTTAAAAACTACGTGTGATTGTGACACAGCAGGGAACCAGTGAGACTGGGGCTATAACAGGGAGGCCTCACCTGGTGTGAGGACCAGGCAGCAGTGTGCCAAGGTCCTCACGCTAGCTGTTCATGGGAGCTGAGGATGGTTGTTCAGACGAGGGTCTGTCTCAAGCACCAGGTCTTTGCAGCCCAGGCAGCCACAGTCCTCGCGGCTTCGGAGAAAGACCCAGGACCTGATCCCTCATGATTCTACTTCTGAGCTGTGTCTCTTCTTTTTTCAGAACTGTGCCTCAGAGGATGTGGAGCCATTTTTGGAAAGTCTCAACGCAGGGGCTTTTCGTGGCCATGTTCTGGCCCCTCATTCCTCAATTTGTTTGCAACTGCTTGTTTTACTGGGCCCTGTATTTCAACCCAATCATCAACATCGATCTCGTGGTCAAGGAAGTCCGGCGACTAGAAACCCAAGTGCTGTGACGGGCACCGCCTCTGCTCTGTGAGACTCTTCAAGTCTCCCTGACATCTGAGCTCGGAGGCTTAGCAACGGAGAGGGAGGGAGCAGCATCGTGTCTTCTCCGCCTAGGAAAACAAGGTGCTGCTATCTCTCCAAGGCTCCAGCCGGGCCCTCTCTGCCCCACCTATGACCTCGTGACAGCAGGGACTGACATCCCAGCACAGGGAGGACTGCTTGGCCAACACAGAGGCAGCCCCTCCCACCACGCTGCCTTCCTCACAGGCAGATGGAAAGTTCAGTCCATGAGGATGCAGTGTGGCTACCACGTCCGCAGTCCCCTTGCCCTGAACTCAGTGACAGAGGCTCCCAGCACCTGCGACCAGGCTTGTTATAAATCAAGTTTAGGAAAACAGATAAGGTTTTATCATAGGCCCAGACAGATACATGTAAAAAAATACACAGGAAAACCCAAAGTTCAATCGACAGGTCTGATTGAAGAGTTGCTAGGTTTCAGAGTAAAACCTCTGAAAGAATTCGGTTTGAGACTGGAATGATGGCTGGGCTTGTAGGCACTGTCTCTCTTTCGTATCATTGGAAGTCTGTACCCCTTTCTCTGAGTGGGACAGAAGACTATTCACAGAGGGTCTTCGCATCAGCTGAGCTGCCTCCAGCCTGCTTAAACTGTTATTTGGGATTTGTTTATTTGTTTTTGTTTTTAAGAAGTTAAGCTATAAGGTAAATTCCAGGATGGTCCTTTTATTCCAACAAGCATTGTATAAACTGACCTCACATTGTATATCTCTATTGTCCTGTTCTGGTGTATAAAACAGCAAATTTAACTATACCATGTGCTGTCATGTACATTCGGAAGCAGATAAACTCTGGCCTTGAAATGTGACCTCTGCAGGGTGGCCTTGCAGAGAGAAGCTTGCATCCAAAGTGGGTTTTTGTGACTTCATGAACCATCCATTAACCCTTTGTATCTTTGAGTGAAGATTTTACTCAAACTCTGCATATAAAAGTTTGAAGAAATTACTTGAAATAAAATTAAAGATTTTTATATGGATAAAATATCTCTATAAGAAAAATTGATTGTTTATAAACTGTGAGAAAAATATGCATCACCTGACATAACCCACCAGTCACCACTGAAGTCCCACAGCTGTGGGGGCATTGAGCCGAGGAGTTGCCTAAGGGAGCTAAAGTGAAGGAGAGAATGTCACCTTCCTCCTGTGTTCCCTCTCTGGCTTGACAGGCCCCAGAGCTGCCTGGCCTATCTACACCCAGGACACTACTGGCACTTGGAGCTGGGGTGCTGTGGTGTATACATTCCTGGTCTCATACCTGGGACTCATTAATATTCCCCTCATTTCTGAATGAAGAGGTGGAGGCTGGCTGGCAAAAGCCATTGAGCTGGTGCTGGCTCAATGGTAGAGCTGGGCTTGGGCCAGACTGCGGGTTGCCAGATGCCAGGCCAGTGCCCCCACCCACACCAGGAGCTTCCCATGCTATCCGCCTCTGCTCCTAAGACCTGCTCAGGGAATGAGGGCAAAGGAGGCTTGGCCTGAAGCAGACAGGCTAAGCTGGCACCCACTCCTTTATCACTGGCAGAAGTTCTCTCAGGACAGGGCCCACCAACTGCCTCTCAACTCCCTCCGGCCCTCTTATGAATCACAGCAGTCTTGGGTATAGCATAAAAGGGTCTCAGGCCAGCCTCCTGGCCTAGTGTTTAAGGAAGCCAGATCCCACGTAGCCCCCTGTGCAGTCCAAATCCCAACCCAGGAAGCTTCAAAAACATGCCAGGTACATGTATGTGTGTGTTAAAATCCCAACAGGATGGAGAAATGGAGAAGCAAGGATTACAGCATGATCATGTGCCATTGAAGTTTGCATTCTCACTCCCTCTCTCTGGGTTTCTGACGAGTTCATGTACCCTCTGACAAAGTAAAAATTTTTTCAAAAAGAGATCTCTTGGGAACCAGCAGTTAGCATAATGGCTATGTCGCTGGACTCCCACGTAGTCGACTGCAGTTCGCATCCCGAACCCAGTGGCTTAAAACTCATGCCGGGCGCGTGTGTGTGCGTGCCCAGGATCCCAAGAGGAGAATGGAGGAGAAGGGATTGTGGCGTGACCATCCCCTCTAGAGGGTGATTTCTCGCTTTCTGTCTCTATGTCTCTGTCTGTCTGGTGAGTGCACGCGCCCTATAGCGAAAACCTCTCCCAAAAAAAAGGGGCCTCTTGGGGCCGGCAAGTGGTGCGGTGGATAAGGGCGCTGGATTCCCACATGGCCAACCACACTTCGAGTCTCAGACCTGGTGGCTTGTTTTCTCACTTTCCCTCTTGCTTTCCCTCTTTCCAAAAGAGGGAAATTTGATCTTTCTGATCAAAGTTTTAAAAATAAATAAAATGAATGAATGAATAAATAAAATAAAATAAATAATTCTTTTAAAACAACAACAATAAAAAGGGGTCTCTTGAAAATATTCAGACCCTTTAATCCATTTTGGCACATAGTAAATATTTGTTTACAGTTAACTTCCAACCATCAGGAGCAGGTTAGAAGACAAAGCTGACTTTTTCATAAAGGCTGAACTTCAAAAATGGTACCAAACCAGCACAGTCATAAATGTGGCCATGGTTTTATTAAACAAACAAGCACAGGACTTTTGACCCTAATCAAGCTGGAAATCTAACAGATCCTAGCCCCAAGTTCCGGAATGGGGAGAGAAAGCAAACACAAGGGTTGCAGCTTTATCACTTGGCTTCTCTTCTCTCCTCCCAAGAACTGAATGCTATGGTTCATTTATGCAAAGGAGCTTTATTTCCTTGTGCAAAAGATCATCGCCAGGCAGGCAAGTCAGTCACACTTGGGCGAGTTCTCCTCACATAGGAACTGCAAGTAGAAGAGGAATTTTATGTTGTACTTAGCTTGGGCAAAGCAGTAGGCGAGCTCCTGGTCACATTTGCACAGGAGTTCTTCACATGTGTTCCCTGTTGGTCCTGGAAGGATTAAGGAAGCAGGTTAGTGTCCAGACCTACAGATTCGAGAATAAACACAAGTCAGGAAAGCTGGAGGCGGGACAGGTCGTAAATTGTATTTGTGTGACACTTCACAGTTCACCACATCATCCTCAGCACAACTCCGCGGCGGGTGATGTCAGCCCCATTTTATGGAAAAGGAAACAAGCTGCAGATGGAGAGTCCAAACTCTGTGCAACCTTTTGGCCTCTGTTCTGCACCGATCTTACACAATTTCATTTGGAGATCCATTTAGATAAGGTGGTGCTGGCAACTGTCGGGCCTGGGTTTGGAATGCCTGCTCATTGCCTCCTAGTTCTGTGGCCTTGCCTAACCTTTCTGAGCCTGACTCCTCCCTGAAAATGAGTGTATTCTTGGGCCAGCAGGGGTGTGGAGATTAATGTGACTGGATCCCTCGTGACCATGACCAACTGCAGGGTTCAAGTCCACTACCAGAGATTCATTAATTTGGCTTGGAAAAACTTCATAGTCTTCAAGTCATAGCTACTAACCTAGAAGATAGGATGCCTTGATGGCTATGGATATGTCACAAAATCATGTCACCCACTGCTTTTTAGTGTGGGCTTTTTTTCCCTTTTTTTGCAAGATTGTTGCTATAGGGCACATGTGCTCACTGGATAGACAGACCGCGAGAAATCACAACCTGGGGAGATGGCCATGCTGCAATCCCTTCTCCATTCTCCTCTCAGGATTTTGGGCACACATGCACATGCACCCAGTGTGTTTCAAGCCACTGGGTCCAGGATGAGAACCGTGGTCTGCCATGTGGTAGTCCAGTGCCTTAACTACTATGCCACCTGCTGGCCCCAGTGTGGGCTTTTAATTATTCACATAAATGGGTGAAGGGACACTACTAAATTCTTCCAAATTCCCTGAAAAGGCATAGTGAAGAAGCATGACCTTTGAAGTTAGCCGCCTGGGCCACGGATTTGGCAGGTCTATGCTTTTCAACAGATCATTTCATTCTTCCCAGACTCAGTTTCCCTAGAAGCAACATGGGGATAATAGTACCTACCTCTAAGGACTGCTGGGAGAGTAGGAAGAGACCAAGCCCATCAAATGTGAGCAGACAGCAAGTGCTCTGGAAGTGGAAGCTGACCTCCTTAAGCTAACAGTTAATCCTTAAAAAGCCCTCTCAAAAATGCACTAGTTCCTTGGAGAGGCAGAAAATTCAGCGGCCAGCAGGTAGCATAACGGTTAAGGCCCTGGACTTCCACATGTCTGACTGCGGGTCCAGTCTCAGACCTGGAAGCTTGCTTTCTCGCTTTCCCTCTTTCTCTCTCTCTGCCCCTCTCTCTCTGGTCAAATTAAAAAGAATAATAACAACAATAAATAATTTTTTTTTTTAAAAAAAGGAAATTTCATCAGCTTCTTCTCCAGTGGCAACACCTGGAGAGGTTGGGAGCACCAGGGGGGGACAGAGCAGTAAGTTGGGGTGTTAAGCAGCAATACCCCACACTGTTGTAGGTAGAGTTTCCCAAACTTGGTCAGGTCTGTGGAAGCCTCAAGATTACTGCTTTAAACCCCTCTCCCTTTTTATTGTAATATTAAATGGATTATTAGTTAAATGTATTAAATTATAATTTAATTATAATAAATTGTGTTGAATTATACTAAATAAATTCTATCAATGTCATAAGTAGAAAACCAAAATCTAATCCATAAATATAAGGAACTAATTTAAAAAAAAAAAGGCAGAAGCAAATGACATCAATGACACAAGCCCGTGAAGATAAGGTTCTAGTATTATTTGAGACTTAGACCAGGAGGCTTCAAACTCACACCAGGCCCATGTGTGTGCATGCCCCAAATCCCTAGAGTAGAATGAAAGAGAAGGGATTATAGCATGGCCATCACCCCCAGGGGCGATTTCTCACTTTCTGTCTCTCTGCCTAGTAAGCACACATACCCTATAGCAAAGAATAAAATAAATAAAATTTTTTAAAAATAAAGTTTTTTTTAGGGGCTGGGCCCATGGCCTAGGGTTAAGGGAGCCGCATCCCACATGGTTGACCATGGTTCAAATCCCTGTCCAGTGGCTTAAAAAATATGCCAGTGTTTGCATGCCCCAAATCCCAACAGGACAGACCATACCTCATTGGAAGAGGTACTTTCTCCTTCTCCCTCATCCTCTCCCCCTCTCTCTTTGTCTCTGGTGAAAATTTAAAAATTAAGTAAATAAGGGCTGTCAGGTGGCATGGTGGTTAGGGTGCTGGACTCTGACATGGTCGAGTCCATGGAGTTTCGAGTCCTGGACCTGGCGGCTTCCTTTCTCTCTCATCAACTTAAAAATAATAATAATAACTAAAATAAAATAAAATAATTTATTTAATGTAAGTAAAGTCTAGGTAGATGCCAATGCCTGCCAGAAGGCTCTGAGCCCCCAAATTGAGGAGCTTGGTTTAAAAAATAAAGAAAGAAAAGAAAAGAAAAGAAAAGAAAAGAAAAGAAAAGAAAAGAAAAGAAAAGAAAAGAAAAGAAAAGAAAAGAAAAGAAAGCAAGCTTAAGAGAGGTTGAGCCTCTCTAGCAGTCATACCAGGGACACTTCCTCCTTTCTTCACGAGAAAAACTAACAGAGAATTGAAAAGGCAAAGTCTTACTTAAATTTGTTTGTTAAACTCCCCATATTCTAAGAAATGTTATTGGGAGGGCAAAACACAAATGCCCCCACTCCAAAGCTTCTGTTTAAACACCCTGCAAACTGCCTCAGTTACAATCCACTAAGTGGTAACAATTAAAAAAGCCAGAATGGGAGCCAGCGTTCATTGAGCAGAGTCAGACACTGGTCAAAAGCTCCATGGGCCAGGGGAACCAGCAGTTAGCGTAATGGCTATGTCGCTGGATTCCCACGTAGTCGACCGCGGTTCGTGTCCCGGACCCGGTGGCTTAAAACTCACGCCGGGCGCGTGTGGGTGCGTGCCCAAGATCCCGAGAGGAGAATGGAGGAGAAGGGATTGCGGCGTGACCATCCCCCCTGGGGGGGATTTCTCACTTTCTGTCTCTATGTCTCTCTCTCTCTGTCTGGTGAGCGCACGCGCCCTATAGTGAAAAACCTCTCAAAAAAAGAAAAGAAAAAAAGAAAAGCTCCATGGGCCCATCCCATCCAGTCTGCTCAGGGCAGTGTCACTGGCACCCCCATTTTACAGTAGAGAAATCCTGATGAGAGTTCCAAGCCAGCTCAGCCTCACACAGTCCTCTCCTATGCCCTGAGCTTCATGGCGAGTTCATGGCAGAAAAGGAGTGGAGTGTCATGTCAACTCAGGGGTGCACTACCCTTAAATTCATGTTTAGAGCAGAAGATTGTTTAACAAAATCTTTTCTTTTTAGAGATTTTTGCTATAGGGTGCATGTGCTCACCAGAGACACAGAGACAGACAGACAGACAGAAAGCGAGAAATCACCTCCCACCCCAGGGGAAATGGCCACAACAGTCCCTTCCTCTCCATTCTCCTCTCTTGGGATCTTGGGCACACATGCACACGCACCCAGCGCGAGTTTCAAGCTGCCGGGTCCGGGACTCAAACTGTGTTAGACTACATAGGAGTCCAGCAACATAACCATTACGCTATCTGCTGGTTCCTGTTTAACAGAATCTTAATGACAAGAGAAACTGCTTATACTTAAGGAAAAATAAGACATACAAAACATGCTGCTATAGTATTTTTAGTTATGCACTCAAAAAAAAGGGATGGAGCTGTGGTGGCGAGGACTGCTAAGACGCTAGGCCCATAGCCTGGGACTACTGGGAGGCCTAGGTTGATTTCTAGTCCAGCCTAAAAGGCTGAGTGGTGGGGAAGGTTGAGGCAGCCCTGAGCAACATAGGAAGAGCCTGTTTAGAAAAGAGCTAGGTGGGGCCAGTTGGTGGCATGGTGGTTAAAGTGGCTGTATCCCACATGACCATACCAACTGTGGGGTTCAAGTCCTCGACAGGGTGGCTTAGGAAACACACGAGGCACGTGTGCATGTGTGCCTAAAATCCGGACAGGAGGGAGCAGTGGAGGAGAAGGGATTGCAGCATGACCACCCCCCCTGGGGAATGCTTTCACTTTCTCTGTCTCTCTGTCTCTTTCTGGTGAGCATACACACTCTCTGCCAAGTGGGAAAAATAAAAAAAAAAAGCTGGGTGTGACAGGGCACCAGTAGTCCCAGCTGGGAGGTGGAAGCAGGAGGATCAGGACACCGTGTTAAGTGGAACAATATAAAAAATCATGTCGTGTGATCTGTATATATGTGTGCGTGTGTTTCCACACATACACACAAATTTGGAGGAAGAGATGCCAAACTTGACTCTAGTTGATAGAGCATAACTCCTGTTTTGTTTTTAATTGTCAGAGGGCACATACCTTACCAGAGAGAAAGAGAGAGAGAGGGAGAAAGCCTCCCCCAATGGGAGTGTCTTCATGCCACAATCCTTCTCCTCCATTGCCCCATCCTGTCAGGATTTGGGGCATTCATGTACAGGCCCAGCGTGCTTTTTTCCAGCCACTAGGGCTGGGGTTCAAACTGTGATAGGCCATGTGAGATATAGCTCCCTTACTGATCAGGTCATGGAGCATAAGTGTCTACATGAACTATTTCTGCCACTTTCCCTCTCGCTGTCTGTCTGTCGCTTTCTCTCTATGGTGGGCACATATGCCCTATAGCAAATTAAAAAATAATAAAAATAAATTGGGGCTGGCAGATGGCATGGTGGATTCCCACATGGCTGACCATAGTTTGAGTCCCAGCCCTGGCAGCTTGTGTTTTCACTCTCTATCTCTCTCTGTTTCTCTCCGGTCAAAATAAAGAATAATAATAATAAATAAAATTAAAGAAATAATTCTTGGGATCAGCAGTTGCCATAATGGCTATGTTACTGGACTCCCATGTAGTCGACTCCGGTTCGAGTCCCGGACCCGGTGGCTTAAACTCACTCCAGGCACGTGTGCGTGCATGCCCAAGATCCCGAGAGAAGAATGGAG